CACCTCAGCCTCCCAAGGCGCGGGATTACAGGCTGAGCCACCGAGCCCAGCTTGATCTGAATTTCAAACACTACAAAACGTGAGACATACTTAGACAAATAAAGTCTTCACCACTTATCTGAAATTTACATTTTACCGGGTATTTTCTCTGGCAGTGCTATCGTGGAGGCTGCTTGTAGAATTCGTGAAAGGCCTCGGGTCCTCTTGATGGTTTCAGGCCAGCAACTGGAGCAGTCCATCAAGATCTGTGTGAGACCACATAGATGCCTTGGAGCCACATCTTAGCGTGGAACAAACTGCCCACAAAGGCCTGGAAAGGGCCAGGCCCTGTCCAGTAGATCCTGACAGCCCACAGGAGGGGCACCTTATCAGCCTTGAGGATTCAGGAATGCAGCCTGGAGGAGATGTCCAAGTTGGGTTTTGAAGGATGTGTAGGAGATCACAAGGCAGATTCTAAATGGGCCAAGTGGGAGAAGTTTTGCAAGGAGAGGAAAAGGCAGGTGTCCTGGCTGGAGAGAATGATAAATAAAATAGGAGGAGGAGAGAGAAGTGAAGGACAGATGAGGCAGAGGGAAAAGAAACAGAGAGAGGAGCGGGAACCTACAGCAAGAACATAGGCTGGGTGCAGTGGCTCAAGCCTGTAATCTCAGCATTTTGGGAGGCCATGATGGGAGTATTGCTTGAGCCCGGGAGTTCGAGACCAGCCTAGGCAACATAGTAAGACCTCATCTCTACAAAAATAAATAAATAGGCCGAGCGTGGTGGCACCTGTAGTCTCAGCTACCCAGGAGGCTGAGGCGGGAGGATCGCTTGAGCCCAAGAGGCTGAGGCTGTGATGAGCCATGATCGTGCCACTGCACTCCAACCCAGGCGACAGAATAAGACCCTCGACTCAAATAAACACGTTTTTTTTTTTTTTAAAGGAAAACATAGAACTTGCATTCAAACAGACCTGCATTTGGATCTGGCTCTGTCATTTCTCGGCCATGTGACCCACGGCTGAGTCCTTTTTCCTGTCACCTGGGCGGCAGGGCCAGGGCGGGGGAGGTGGCTGCAGGGAGTGGCAGGAGCCCAGGGTCCCGTGCTGTCCCCAGTGGAATCACGACGCCCCCTGGTGGAGCCGCCGCGGAATTAGGGATAGCGCGCATTTGGCTCGGGGTGGCCACGTGCGGGTGCTCGGGGACGCTGTCACTGCATCCTCGTCCACTTCTGGGTCTGCGGTGTCCATCGGTGCCTGGAACATGGCGGCCTCCGGGTGGGTGGGCGGTGAGGCTGCAAAGGGGTCGGTGGCAGCAGGTGGCACACCTTGGAGTGTTTTGTGCTGAGCTAGGAGCTTGGGCATCTACCTGTCAGGGAGGAGAAGGGCTTGAAGGGGACTGTGGAGCTCAGATGTCCCAGACTTTATCCCTGGGCTGGCGGGGCCAGGGACCGGGAGGTGGGGGCAGTGAATAGCTTGAGTGCAGGGTTCCATGCCGTCATTATAAAAGTCACATCAGCCGGGCTCGGTGGCTCAGCCTGTAATCCCGCGCCTTTGGGAGGCTGAGGTGA